GATTCTATTTTCTCAAAACTTTCCTATTCTGCATTATTCACCCCAAAATATTTGATAAAAAAACCAGTAATAACAATTAGCACCTGATCCCGCTTCCAATAAGATCGATGATGACTATCCTTTCTTTGATTAAAAATTGAAAAATCAAATTGGGATCGAGGAATTAAAATCTTATGGATTAACTTTGCCGCTCACATCACCTCAATTCTGATAGAGTCCCATGCGAAATTTGTCCAGGTGTCTCAATCAAACCCTACAGTTAGGGCTCTCCATAGACTAGATTGGACAACAAGACCAAAAACGAAATAAGATAGAGGATCTCGACTGAAGACTGAACCGAAAAGGATCATTTTTTTTTTTTCAGTTTTGATGGCTTCTAATTTTTTATCTTTTAGAATTAATATTTCTTTTGTAATTTGATTTATTTGAGGACTAGACTGGAAACTGGACTGAAACCGGATTTCTATTCCTCTTATTCATGGACGAAATCCAGTTTTCCTGTCCAGTCCAGAATATGAACACCCCTACCAGTAGGGTAGAAATCTTTTCTACAAAGACAATTCGAACATGACTAAGTGAAAGCTCGCCACAGACAACTTATTCGTGGTTGAATCCCAAGTAGAGATGATAAGCACTCGCCACCACCTACTAAGGCATGCAAACCACATAGAAGTTACCAAAAGGATCCATGTTGATGTTTCTCATGCCTTAGATCCTAGTCTTTTCCTTGATTGATTCGATGCTTTAAAGTTAAAGTGGTATTATATGCCTAAACAGAGAATCTATTAGGTTTAACAAAATGATGGATCTGCTAGGAATTACTGGCAATCTATCCACCGAGACTAAGAGCTTTTGGGAGTTCCACTTACCACACAATGGGGTGTTATGAAACAAAAGTTGAAAAAAAAAATTCTCTCACCAATTACAGAATTAGGTTTCTTGAGAAATTATTGAATTTGCAACAACCAAATGATAGTATAGCTGGTTATGTAAACCGGTTTGAGGAACTCATGCCATGGTAGAAACTTGAGGAAGACCTTTTGTCACTATTTGTAGATTCATCAATTTTCTAAGAGTAGAAACTGAAAAGGAAGTGTCCATGTACTCTTCCGAGTCTTCAGAAGAATCCTACCAAAAACAGTAAAAAAGAGAAGTATCTCAATTTTCCCAATACTCGTACCTCATCTTTCATAGTAGAGTCAGCTAAAGTCTAAGTCTGCTCTCAGTCCAGTTAGAACACTAAGCTTGCTATCTCTCAAGCATGTAATTCTATCAATCCTTGTTCTAGTGGCCTTCCTAGTGTCCTACATAATTCTTCAATTCGCTGTCATTGTTGCCATGACAATGGTCACATAGCTTCCAAGTGTCCCCAATGTGTTTTGGTTGTTGAGCATGAATCTTATGATTCATTTGTTGTTGAAACAGAAATTGTGGATCCCATTGAATATTCAAGTGATGGAAATTACTTAAATAATCTGAAAGAATATTGGTGCTATTTTTTTTTTGAAATAAAAAGTGCTAGTGTAGTATTATAAACAAAGTACCAAAAGGGGGTATCGCCCATATACAGTAAATTTACATTCTAGTGAGGGTATCAATGACAACCCCAAAATCTAATCCACTCATCGTGTCACGCCCCAATAACATATTCCCAAAAAAATGAAACCACCTATCTCTCAATCTATTCACCAGAGTTTCCCTTCCCTCAAAACTCTAGGG